CCTCTCCTTGTCCTAATAGGACTAGGGGAGGGGGGAGGCGTGCGGCCCATCTTGGGCTGCCCCTTCTCTTTTCCACTAAAGCCCACTAAGGCCCATATAGCTCCCGGGGGGGTTCCGGTAACCTCCCGGTACTCCGGTAAAATCCCGATTTCACCCGGAACACTTCCGATATCCAAACATAGGCTTCCAATATATCAATCTTTATGTCTCGACCATTTCGAGACTCCTCGTCATGTCCGTGATCACATCCGGGACTCCGAACTAACTTCGGTACATCAAAATGCATAAACTCATAATAACTGTCATCGTAACGTTAAGCGTGCGGACCCTACGGTTCGAGACAAATCTCCGGTCAATAACCAACAGCGGGACCTGGATGCCCATATTGGCTCCTACATATTCTACGAAGATCTTTATCGGTCAGACCGCATAACAACATACGTTGTTCCCTTTGTCATCGGTATGTTACTTGCCCGAGATTCGATCGTCGGTATCCAATACCTAGTTCAATCTCGTTACCGGCAAGTCTCTTTACTCGTTCCGTAATACATCATCTCACAACTAACATATTAGTTGTAATGCTTGCAAGGCTTATGTAATGTGCATTACCGAGAGGGCCCAGAGATACCTCTCCGACAATCGGAGTGACAAATCCTAATCTCGAAATACGCCAACCCAACATCTACCTTTGGAGACACCTATGGTACTCCTTTATAATCACCCAGTTACGTTGTGACGTTTGGTAGCACCCAAAGTGTTCCTCCGGTAAACGGGAGTTGCATAATCTCATAGTTATAGGAACATGTATAAGTCATGAAGAAAGCAATAGCAACATACTAAACGATCGGGTGCTAAGCTAATGGAATGGGTCATGTCAATCAGATCATTCAACTAATGATGTGATCCCATTAATCAAATAACAACTCTTTGTTCATGGTTAGGAAACATAACCATCTTTGATTAACGAGCTAGTCAAGTAGAGGCATACTAGTGACACTCTGTTTGTCTATGTACTCACACATGTATTATGTTTCCGGTTAATACAATTCTAGCATGAATAATAAACATTTATCATGAAATAAGGAAATAAATAATAACTTTATTATTGCCTCTAGGGCATATTTCCTTCACCAGGCACCTGCCCGAGCGCGAGAAACTCCCTGCCGCCACCTTCCTTGGCTGTGTTTAAGGCCTGCCCGGCGCCAGCCTCTTGCAGCGGCAAGGAATGGATAGGACGCGGGGAAGCCTAGCGGTGGCGGCGCGAGATCGCCCCCGTGTCGCCCTACCGGGGCGGCGTGGGGGACCTTCCGTCACATGGCCGTTTAGCTAGGCAATCGTTTAGGTGTTTTTCTTGATAAACTCCAGCAGCTCCTTTTTCATTTCTTCTTTTCTTGCACTCATCTTTTTATGTGATGCATTCCTCTTTGAGGGTGTTCTTATAAGGCTAGTCATAGTGGGAGTAACATAGGTAGTAACATACTCCCTTCTTTCCGGTTTATAAGGCTCAATTCAAAAATCTCACCAATCAAGGTAGATGATGAGTGGTGGAATATTTTTTGTAGTTTACAAAAGCACCTAATTAATGCTCTTATTTTCCTTAAAAAATTATGTTTACGAATGCATTAGTTGCAATGCATGCATGCATAAAGTGCATGCATTGGTCAGTTTTCTCTTAATACTTGCATGCAATAATTTAATGCAACTTGAAGTCTGAACATGTGATAGGGAACAACCAAATTGAGCCTTATAAATGAAAAAACTAAAATTTTGAGATAAGCCTTATAAACCGGAAAGAAGGGAGTAGATGTCACGTAAGCAAAAACGGTGGTATGGCAAGTAGTTAACGAGGAGAGTGGCAAATAAAGTAACACAATATGTTACCATCACATAGCGTTTTTCAATGCATAATGAGTCTACAAAATAATATGTATGGTTCTAGTCTAAGTTACTCTCCACTATGACTAGCCTATGCCCTTTCTAATCAAATTCATTGATATGGTAGCTCCCCTACCAACATTGATATATTTTTTCTCTCCTCCGATGGCAAGGCACCACGCCGCGCCATGTGTTCAACCCAGAGCCTCCCATACTCGGCCAGTGACACCCGGTGTCTGCTCTTAACCCCGGTTCGTCCTTTTCACCAAGAGCGCTGCTATACACACGACGGTGTGCAGCCGATGTCTGGACGATGCTACTGATCTGACCGTACATGCATGTCACAAAGAGGAGGCCGACCGCTGGATCAAAGCATCGTCCAATGTTCGGCCAGTGGGTGTCGGCTGCTCAGTAGTTCCGTTTCACCAAAGCAGTGAAACCCGTCGCACTTCCCAAAGAAAATGTGATGTGAGCTATACTATAGTAGTAGTGCTCCACTACCACTTGTGTATAAGCGTGCTCGGCGTCTGTTTCGCTTCCCACTAGCAGTAACCTTCCTCGAGGCGCAAGGTGGAGCAGTACGACGGAGGAGCGATCAAAATCAAAAGCAAACATGACGAACAAGAAGCCTACTTGGTCCTCCTCGGCGTCCGCCTGCTCCGGGGGCTCCCGCATTGGGCTACCCTGCGCGGTGGCGAACCAGAAGAAGAAGAAGAGGGCCAGGAGCGACGCCGTCGTTGTCCCGGCGAGGGGGTCATCCGTGTACAGAGGCGTGAGCAGGTGAGCATGCACTTCTTTCTCCCCTTCTTGGTTTCATCCGGGTGGCGATCTTTGTGTTTGATTTCTGATCGAGATGTGCGCCATTGGTGGTGGTGTAGGCACTGCGCCTCGGGAAAGTACGAGGTGCACCTGTGGGACAGGCATTACCGGAGCACGGCTGAGAACAGGAGAGGCAGGCAAGGTGAGAGACACCCAGCCTTGGCTGGATCAAATCCCTTTCTTTCAGACCAGCTAGCTACCTCATTTTGCTCTATTTTGATCGTCACTTTAATTTATTCTTGCCACTTCGATGTTCTTTGATGTGCTAGCTAGCTGACGTTCTTGGTCTTTGACTAATTTGTGTTGCAATCTTGTGTTCGTCTGCCTCGGGACACCTGTGGTGAACTGGTGGTGATACGCATCCATGTCTCACCGCTTCTACTATTAGTTTATTTGGGTGAGTCAAGAAAGATCCTTTCGCTTCTTGAAAAGAAACGCTCACATACTTCTCAATGCCATGATTGACACCAACATCTAGATTGCATTGTCCCTCGCCGCTTAAGGCGCATGGTTTCGTTAAGATCACTGCTTACTCTTGTTTCTTGGCAGGAGCTTATGACACCGAAGAGGCTGCAGCTCGCACCTATGATCTCGCGGCGCTCAAGTACTGGGGTGCACAGTGCGGCGGCCTCCTCCTTAACTTCCCGGTAAGTTGTGTCTTGTCATATCATATGTCAGTACTAGTCAATACGAATACCTGTACTACTCAGCTGGCCGCTATGATTCTGTTCGACATGAGAGGACTGCCCTGCGATCGTTGCTGCAGGTGGACACGTACAAGGACGAGCTGGAGAGGATGCAACGCGTGACCAGAGAGGAGTACGTGGCCATACTCAGGCGCGACAGCAGTGGCTTCACCAGAGGCGCCTCCAAGTACAGGGGAGTAGCAAAGTATGTATGCACTCACGCCTTCCTCGAGGAGAGATTATCCTCGATCAGATCAACCACATTGACACTGCAATGACATGCCATGAGTGATCTTGCTGACATGAAGTAACTTATTGGCACTGCAGGCATCACAAGAAGGGCCGGTGGGAGGCGAGGATAGGCTGCGGTAGCGGCAGCGGCAGCGGCGGCGGCAAGAGATACCTCTACTTGGGGATATTCAGTGTGTTCTCTATCGTTCTGTCCTTGCAAGTTCGCTCTACTAGTAGTACGTTTCTGTGGCTCATCTCAAGAAACGGCACTCTGAATCTGCATGCAGTTACCCAGGAAGAGGCGGCCCGGGCCTACGACCTCGCGGCGATACAACTCCGGGGCCTCGCCGCGGTCACCAACTTCGACGTCGATTCCTACTACGTGGACCAGCAGCTGCAGCCGCCCCTCTGCAAGGTCGACCCAGACCCTGAACCGGCAGGGCAACTGCTGCTGCCCAAGGTCGAGCCCAAGGAGGAAGAGCCCGAGCCCGGGCCAGTGCTCCGGGACGACGTGGACGACGTCGACTGCGCCATCGCCGAGGTACTGCAGGCGCTCTGCATGGACCGCGCCGACTTCGAGGCCAGGTACCCGCCCCGCGGCGCGCCCGGATGGTGGCCGTCTGACGACGACTTGCGCGAGCTGCCGGCTGACGTGGGCTTCGAGGACGACATCGAGAGCGTGCTCTTCGACGCGCCGCCCGCCGCCTGAGTTTTGGTCTCCTGTCCTGCGCAGCCGCCAGCCCGCCATGCCCAGCTCGCAGGATGGTGATGGACGTGAGCTGTTTGTGCCGGTGCATTGCATGCGTGTCCGTGTCTCAGCCTCTCAGGCATGTAGGTAGGTAGTACGCGCGGTAAATAGCTGTGGGCAATGGCGAAGTGTGGTTAATTTTGGGGTGGCAGCGGCGTCATGGCCGGCCAGTAACCGCCTTGTAGCATGTGAAAGTGGCACAACTGGTGAAGGCACCAGCATTTGGCAGTGAAACTTTGGGAATGGCTAGGGGACAGTAGACTGAACTTAAATTTAGAATCCGAGTCACTCGAGTTGTTCCTAGCCGTTGGATGAAAAAGCAACCGTCAGATCTTCGTCTCTCTGAAAATATTGTTCATGGTCGTCCTCCTCGCGACCTTTATCTGAACCGCCCTCAACCGCCAGCCTAACCGCCTGTTTCCACTATTTGTGGCCGGCTGCACTTCCGTGACCGCCTTGTCGACCCGCCCTCCCCTCAAGTGTCGTGTTGCCGCCATCCATGGCCAGCGCTCTAACCCCGGCGATGAATCGTTTTTTTTTCTTTTGACGAACTAGCACTGCCCTCTAACCCCGGCGATGAAGCTTTTTTTTTACGAACTAGCACCGCTCTCTAACCCTGGCGATGATCCTTTTGCACGTCAAGCATTATCGTTCAAATCCACATGGTATGTGCGTCCCCGTCCAAAGGAGAAATGAGAACAGGACAATTTCTTTTGAAATGCGGTCTGTCAGAGCCTGATTCATTAAAATGATAGAATAGAGTTGCCCGGTTAATTAACGAAAATCCAAGCAAAAACCGTTACGACAAGCCCACGCAGAAGGGCAAGCGGCCACCCTGGCACCAACAAGACCGCAAACACCGCTGAAAAGAGGACACCATCGAGGTAGCCTACAATGTCATTGTCATCACCTCTCCTCGAGCAGGTGACTCCGACTTCGCCGTTAACGACCCATCAAGACTCCTCTGAACGAACGACACACGAGGACCTCATCAGCCATAGCCAAACAATCAACTGTAGACGTCGAGGACAAGCAGCTTCGATTTTGCTGATGCGCTTCACTGGAGAAAGTTGCAAGCCTTGCACCGACTTGGTCCAGTTCAACCTCCGAAGAGCGCCGTCCAATGAAACCACCCTCATGGAGTCACTGTTAACGCATAGGCCCGCCACACGCAGGTCCGACTTCTCTGTCACATGGAGAAACAAACATAGGCACACCCATTGGCAAACGAAACCGTCGACATTAGAAGGTCAAGCCGCGACCCAGCTCCACACACCATCATCGTCGTCGCCGCACAGTCGCAACGCCAACCACTCGCATCACCTGTTGGGAACCTACCAACCATGATGTTGAGCGCGTCCAGCCCAAGAAAAGCGCGGAGAAGAATCACCGGTCTCCAAAGCAACGTCCCAAAGGGGAAAACGCCGCGGGGACGAGGTCGTTTCCCGACCCAGATGGGTCTAGACTTTCGTCCGAAGAATGCATGACACTATGAAGGTAGTAGTGTCATATGTGGCTTTATTTAATGGCTTGTAGACTCATCTTGTCTTGAAAAGCGCTATGTTACAGTAACATATTATGTTACCACTTCTCATTAACTACATGTCACATAAGTAAAAATTTCTCGAAGTGCGCTATCTTACTAGTACCTAAGTTACTCCCACTATGACTAGCCTTAGTGCTTCTGTCACGTCATTTGACCTTGACCTTGTCTTTTCATAACATAGAGACGAGGAAACAAAGGGGATTTGAACAGCAGATTCCTCCATCGAATTCTATGGACTGACGAACGATATTGATTAATTTTGTAAAAGCTACTCGTAACTGATTAGTGTTCAGTAGTTTTCTTGCGAGGCAGTTGAGAACCTGATTTTTCTCTCCCTTAATTAAGCTCTAGATAGCTACTACCATGTGGCTATGCCATGCCGTGCACACCACACCCAGCGCGTCGGCGCCGTCGATTGCTGTTTCACATCGCGGCGGTGCTGGCCGGCCGTTGACGTCCGCGTTGCCGAGCTTCATTATTCGCCATCTCATATCCATTCATCCACGTGCTGTCATTAATGTTGGGTTGTTTCGTGTTGCATGGGAGCATTTGACCCTTGGACATGATATCGTGGTGCTTAATTAATTGACTCAAGGAATTGAGGTCGACGCATGCACCATACTAGCACCTCCATGATCGATGATAAACTTCTGCAAGGGACCTGCACGCGTACAAAACACGGAGGATCCAAATGTGTGTGCTGCACAAAAATGACGCGGAAACTAAGGCGTCGTTGCTGACACACTTCTCCATCGCTGCCAACCTGTTGTCTTGTGTTCGCTCGCCGCGTATATATATATACACCCACCATATTATCCATCAACGGCATCAGGGCACACAAATCAAGCTCCCAGCTCCCAGCTCAGCTAGTTGACTACCTGCAAATTTGGTGACAAGGTTGCTAGGTGGATGAACAGTCACTCGACCATGGTGGTACCGTCGGTGTTCGCCGCCTTCGACAAGGACGGCGACCGCAAGGTGTCCGTGTCCGAGCTGCGCTGCTGCATGGCGGCGTCCTTGGGCGAGGACATATCCGAGGAGGAGGCGGCCGTGGTCCTCGCGGCGGCGGATGCCGACGGTGACGGGCTGCTAAACCAAGAAGAGTTCTCGAGGCTAGCCGCCGGTGCCCATGAAGAGGACGACGTGAGGCGAAGATGCCTGAGGGAGGCGTTCGGGATGTACGCGTCGTCCTCCACGGAAGACACGACAACGACGATGATTACGCCAGCGAGCCTGAGGCGGACCCTGAGCAGACTGGGGTCGCACGAGCTGGGCGTGGAGGAGTGCAGGGCAATGATCTGCAGGTTCGACCTCGATGGCGACGGCAAACTCTCGTTCGACGAGTTCCGGGTCATGATGATGGCCTGATCATCGACTCTCTTCTTGGCATTTTTCTAGACAGATATAATGTTCAATTAATTCATCGATCACATATGTATGTACAATCATGTGTTCATTCATTCATTGTTTTGCCCGCAGATCGCTAGTAGGAGTATGTTATAGTAGTAGCTGTCCACATGAAAAGATAATATATATGCAATCTTCTTGAAATAGGCTTTTGCCCCGCTTTATAAGTAAAGCAACTGTTCATACAACCAGCATTTGAATCTCTGATCAAGAATGACGGCTAGGGCAACAACATAATCATACCCAAAAAACATAAGAAAAATAATAAGAAAAAAAACACATAGTGGCTGCCGCCAAGCGGCCCTACGAAGACGACAGTCGACGCGTTGTAGCCAGAAGCGCATCCATCATGAGGCCGAAACGATCACGGTTACGCTACCTCAAGAGTGGATGCCGATGTTGCAGAAAAGTCCATAACATCGCCGTAAAGATAAGACAGAATTAGTGAGAATATCTCGTATAGTTTGTGGCCTTGATCTGGAGGAACTCCACGAGGTCCAGGGCCTCACAATCGGCCCCAGTGCCTCGCGAACAAACGTCCAGAGGACCTGCGTCGCTGTACAGGAGAATAGGATATGTGTCCCATTCTCCGGTATCACGCATAAGGGGCACAAGCCATCACCTCGGCCATGTCACTTAAGTACCACAGTCTCTGAAAGGATGCGGTCGCGTAATAGCTGCTACACAAAGATCTTAATCTTCAAGAGCAAAGGGCCTTTCCACAGGGGAGAAAGCCATGGGGTGGCAGCTGACTGGCATAAAGCATGGTATGTCATGCTCATCGAAAACTCCGCCGCGGAGATAGCCGCCAAGACACGGTGTCCGATAGCCTGGTAACACCAGTGGTAGGGCCGCTCGGAATCTAGTCCAATTGTCACTCTCTGCCTGCCCAAAAGTACGACGGAACCGAATATTGCATTGTCTAGAATGGATGGCCCTGGACATAATTAATAGCGGGTCCGCACAAATCGAGAACAAGTCAGCGAAACTCACTTTGAGTGGCTCGTTATCCAACCAGGGGTTCGGCAAAAATTGGGTTCCATCCCCATTTCTTGTGGAGATGGAATCCCTAGATGGATGTCCTCCTTGATCCTTTGGATGGATCTCCAGAACTGTGACCCTCCCAAGCGGGAGCACACCTTGAGAGGCTCACCCCTAAAGTATTTTTCCTGAATGAGCTGTAACCATAGGCCGCCCTCACCACGTAGTATCCGCCAAACCCAGCGCAGCATTAGCATGACGTTCATGCGGCGGGAAGCCATAATGCCGAGGCCACCACGGTGCTTGGGCATACATATGTCCGCCCACTTGACCATGTGATACTTTTGGCGTCCATTAGCTGCCTGCCAGAAGAACCTAGCGAGCTCCTTATCGAAAGAGCTATGAATGCCCTCTGGCAATATATACAACCCCATGTACATGAGGAGGCTCGCTAGGTTAGCACTGATAAGGACCGATTTTCTCCTTGTGGAGGCAAACCGCCTATGCCAGGGCTCGGCCCAGGATGCTACTCGTCCCACCAAAGGGTCAAAGGCACTCATCAATATCTTCGAGTCAGCCATCGGCATTCCTGTTGGGCAACGTAGCAGAAATTCAAAATTTTCCTACGTGTCACCAAGATCTATCCATGGAGAGACCAGCAACGAGGGGAAGGAGAGTGCATCTACATACCCTTGTAGATGGCTAAGCGGAAGTGTTTAAGAGAACGGGGTTGATGGAGTCGTACTCGTCGTGATCCAAATCACCAATGATCCTAGTGCCGAACGGACGGCACCTCCGTGTTCAACACACGTACAGCCCGGTGACGTCTCCCATGCCTTGATCCAACAAGGAGAGAGGGAGAGGTTGAGGAAGACTCCATCCAGCAGCAGCACAACGGCGTGGTGGTGGTGGAGGAGCGTGGTGATCCAGCAGAGCTTCGCCAAGCACCGCGAGATATGAGGAGGGAAGAGGTAGGGCTGCGCCAGGGAGAGATCAAATCGTCTTCTATTGGGCAGCCCCAAAACTCAACTATTTATAGGAGGAGGGAAGGAGGGTGCGCCCCCTCTAGGGTTCCCACCCCTAGAGGGGCGGCAGCCCTAGATGGAGGGGGGTGGCCAAGAGGGGGAGAGGGGGGCGCGCCCTAGGGTGGGCCTTAGGCCCATCTGCGCCTAGAGTTTCCCCTTCTCCTCCTAGCTGCGCCCTGGGCTTTGTGGGAGGCGCACCAGCCCATTCAGGGGCTGGTCCCTTCCCACTCTTGGCCCATGCAAGCCTCCGGGGCTGGTGGCCCCACTTGGTGGACCCCCGGGACCCTCCCGGTGGTCCCGGTACGTTACCGATAAAACCCGAAACTTTTCCGGTGACCAAAACAGAACTTCTCATATATAAATCTTTACCTCCGGACCATTTCGGAACTCCTCGTGACGTCCGGGATCTCATCCGGGACTCCGAACAACATTCGGTAACCACATAAAAACTTCCTTTATAACCCTAGCGTCATCGAACCTTAAGTGTGTAGACCCTACGGGTTCGGGAACCATGCAGACATGACCGAGACGTTCTCCGGTCAATAACCAATAGCGGGATCTGGATACCCATGTTGGCTCCCACATGTTCCACGATGATCTCATCGGATGAACCACGATGTCAAGGACTTAATCAATCCCGTATGCAATTCCCTTTGTCTATCGGTACGATACTTGCCCGAGATTCGATCGTCGGTATCCCGATACCTTGTTCAATCTCGTTACCGGCAAGTCTCTTTACTCATTCTGTAACACATCATCCCGTGATCAACTCCTTGATCACATTGTGCACATTATGATGATGTCCTACCGAGTGGGCCCAGAGATACCTCTTCGTTTACACGGAGTGACAAATCCCAGTCTCGATTCGTGCCAACCCAACAGACACTTTCGGAGATACCTGTAGTGTACCTTTATAGCCACCCAGTTACGTTGTGACGTTTGGCACACCCAAAGCACTCCTACGGTATCCGGGAGTTGCACAATCTCATGGTCTAAGGAAATGATACTTGACATTAGAAAAGCTTTAGCATACGAACTACATGATCTTGTGCTAGGCTTAGGATTGGGTCTTGTCCATCACATCATTCTCCTAATGATGTGATCCCGTTATCAACGACATCCAATGTCCATGGTCAGGAAACCGTAACCATCTATTGATCAACAACTAGAGGCTTACTAGGGACATGGTGTTGTCTATGTATCCACACATGTATCTGAGTTTCCTATCAATACAATTCTAGCATGGATAATAAACGATTATCATGAACAAGGAAATATAATAATAACCAATTTATTATTGCCTCTAGGGCATATTTCCAACAGTTCCCAAATATGTTATAGGGAATGAGGTCAATCTGCAGTTTGGGTTCTCCGTAATCCGTTGTTGTTCCTCCGCTAGAAATCCCAAGACATTGACCTCACTCGATCTTATCAAAATTAATCTTTAGTCCTAACATAGCCTCAAAACAGAAGCGTGGGAATTTAAGATTCACGATATCGAGGTCTGACTCCTCCACCACAATCATGCTGTTGTCAGCATATTGTAAGTGGGTGACCCCTCCACCAAGAATCAAGTGACCACCTACCCCGGAGAGGTGACCTGCCATCCTAACTTTATCCATGGTGCTTGCTAACACATCAACGGCGAGCTTGAAGAGAAGCGAGGAAATCGGATCCCCTTGCTTCACTCTTGCAGAGGACATAAAGAATGATCCCACCTCGTCATTAATATTAATATTATTTTTGCTACATATAATTTATATTTTAATAGTGAAAAATATTATTAGAATATAACCTAAAATACGAGAGAACTAGTAAACCAGGACGTAGATAAGACTCAGCAGAGATGAACATGAAGGTGACCAATGTGTGATGCATTAATATCATCCGTATCGTAGCACATGTAAAATGCTCATCAAATTAAGTGGGAACTAGTTACTCCAAACACGTGTTAAATGGAATCTCGGTCCACCTTCTGAAACATATCTCACGCATACTTGAAAGACCCAGACGAAGACCGAAAAAATAATTACATTGGAGTAAAAAAATAATTTCATGAAAGCACCTCACGAAATTTATTTAACCATATGTATAGAGGTAGAAATATTTTTTTTAGTTTTCACTCGTTTGTCACTCACAGATAGATCAAACAATAGGATTATTTGACTTAACCACCTACCTACCATGTCAAGTAGGCTATGAAATAATGATGATCAATCGACATGAGGTGTACGTTCCGTCGGGAATAGAAATGAGAAGATAGCACAATGCCGCGTCATATCCATGTGAGATTACGAGAATCCCGCATGAGAGCAATCATCTTAGTTGACAGAAATGATATGAAAATAATATACTCCCTTCGTTCCTAAATACAAGTTTTGTTAGATATTTTAAATGGACTACAATATACGAATGTATGTAGATATATTTTAGAGTATAGATTCACTCATTTTGTTTCATATGTAGCCATTTGTTGGAATCTCTAAAAAGAATTATACTTAAGAACGGAGGGAGTATTATCCTTGCTGGAAAGAACATGGAAATAAGCCATCGATGAGGAAGGGGGAGTAACCGGACCTGCCTACAGGCCAGCATTTACTACTCCCTTTGTTCAGAAATATAGTATGTTCTATTTTTATTTTATTTTTGTAATTACTCCCTTTGTTCAGAAATATAATATGTTCTAATTTTTTGTAATCAGATGTATATGGACATGTTTTAGTGTGTTTATTCACTTATTTCATTCTCCATGTAATTTATACTGAAATATTCGAAACATATTATATTTGTGAACGGGGGGAGTATAGGTTTAGGATCTAGTATCCAGGATTTCACCATCTAGCATCGTTGCCTATGTCATAGTGAATAAGTCTGCTTCGAATTTGTCCCCAACACAGCGATCTTCTTCAAGGTTAGTGATGGATTTGAGGTTTAGGGTTTCAACAAATAAATTTGCTCTGGATCTTGCCCCGGCGCGACAGACTCCTCCTAGATTGGTAGTGGATTTGGGAGTTAAGGGTTTTGACTAAAGGTGGTGCGGCGCCGGTGGTGCTCTCAGTGCGGATTTTTATTCACCATCTTCGTTATCGGGGTAGTGCGCTTTGGCGCCGCTACGGAACCTAGGAGATTGAAAGAGAGTGGTTGCTCGCAGGTAGCACCGGCGGTGAGCTGGAAGGCAAAGGGACAAGAGCTGGGAGCATGCAAATCTGGATCCTTCTGATTCGATGGTGCGGATGCAGCCTAGTAAAGATCGGTGACTTCCGGTTGCATGTGTGCATCTACTTTGTTGTTTCAGGAGTGGCGTGCAAATCTAGCGAGTGAAATACGAGTGAAATACGACGCATCATCGTCATATGGGGGATGAAGATATAGGAATCCCAAGGGCGGGTATGTGATTTTCATTTACCCGAACAGTCTTTTTTCTAATATTGGTATTCATGGATGAGGATTTGAAGCTCTCGGGTGCTCCAACCCCCTATATGAATATAGGATTCAAAAAATACCTGATTTTTTTAAAAAAAATCTAGAATTTTTTCATATCAAACCTGGGTGCCCGATCTACTTTCATGTGAAGTTTCGTGAAGAAATGGCATATGTAGTATTCTCAGTAAATGAATCAAATAATTTCTATGTGTAGAAAAACTATTTGGATGGATCGTAGATCGGACTGTATTTTCTTCGCCACGGATATCATGCATGTCATTCTTAACAAAACTAAACATGGGAGTAGAATGGGCACCCAGGTTTTATGTCCCAAAAATCCAATGTTTTTTAAGTTTCCTGGTATTTTTTGAATTTAATATTGACATAGGGGGTGCGTGTAGCACCAGAAGCTCCCGTGTATTTTTCCTAGTATTCATCTATTAATATATAGTTGTTGCCTTGTCACACACCATTCTGGCCTTGACCTTGCCTTTACTTTCATCACGTAAGAAACACGATATTGATCGATTCATAAGTCTAATGGGCTGACGCGCAATGCATGACATCCCTTGAGGCGTCATTAGTAAACTGTCTAGAAGCGGTAATCACCAAATTCCTTGTGTACACAAAAGCGAGCTAAGCTTAGGTTCTTTGTAGCAGAACCAGCCCATTGAAAATCAAGTCGTAGATCTGACACTAATGCTTGCATATTTTCTGAATTTATTTTAAACTTTTCAGTACTATTTTTCAATGGTATGACATGCTTATCGACTGTGAGGTACATGTGACGACTTTATCAATCTCAAGATTTGCTGAATCGGTGGCTCCAAGGTACTAATAAAGGTAGAGTTTGCGTGCTTTTATTTATAAGAGTGAGAGTGTGGTGCATGTTGTGAGCATATATGTATATGTTGTGTTCCTTAAAACGAAGTAAATTTCTTGTAAGGTAGTTGACACGCAAAAAGAATTTTCGGTGTCACGCCTTTTAAAATTTGATTCATTTTATTAAAATGAAGAATATAATTGTTTGATAAATTAGCAGAAAACCAGAGAAATTTGTTACAACACGTCCGTAAGACGGGAATTCGGCCGACCTGACCACCCACAAGATCCACACACATTGTCATAGAGAACTAGTGGATGGGGCGCGCCCTGGGCGCGCCTCCTGAGGTGTGACTCTGCGCACTTTTCTTGCCATTGGACTTCTTAACGTGTTTGTACAGTGCAAACGTGATTTCTTTCTTGCAGGGACAGCGCACTTCTGTCAGTGGCTAAGAATGTATAGCAAATTAACAGTGATTCTGGAGTGATGCACATGTGCGCACATTTACAAATGGAGTATCTGTTCAACTACAATTTACATAGTAGTGACCAAGTATCCCTTGAACTACAATTTACATGGTAGGGACCGCTCTAATTAGTCCTGGCTATTTGATTAAGATTAGCATAGAATCCACTCAGCACTCGACTTGAATAACCATGAAAAGCAGGTACTAATCATCTTTGAATCCTGCAAAAAATGTTATCTTGTAAAATGGAAATCAATTAAGTCATACTGCTTTTGTATTACAATTAGAAAAGCCAAAGTAACACACTCTAAATTATATATTACAGAGAAAGAGTGAATGTGTATCTTACTGATCCAAATGAACATGCTACAATATCAGACGTGCACAAAAAATGGTAAGCAGCAGAATAGGTCAGTGCATTCTAACTGTATGTATAGGTTGTGTGACAGACGACACCATCTATCAGAATATCAAGTCATGTTACCAGGCAAGTGTATCAGTAATTTGTGTTATTGCTTCTAATCAACCAGACATTATGATCGGCAGCTTTGAGGTTGTAAAAAGGGAAAGTAATATACATTAGGTAGCTATACATCTTGCCAAATCATCAAGACGCTAGTGAGGGCAAGTGATTCCTAAATTCAGAGCTACATTTTTTTTACTGCCAAACAATTTTTTGCTTAAAGAGGGATGTTCTAAATTGCATCAGAACTTGAAAGCACATCAGATACTAATTAGTACAACAACAATATCAACCAGTATAGATGGCATATTAGATATACTCCCCCCGTTCAGAATTACTTGTCACCAAAATGGATGTATCTAGAACTAAAATACATCTAGATACATCCATTTCAATGACGAGTATTTCCGAACGGAGGGAGTAGGAATTTATCTATTTATCAACTAATTAGCAATTGGCGTGATATAGGAATTTACGTATTCATCAAAGACTAATTAGTAAGGCAAGAACATCAAGCAGCAGATGACGTGTTTGATATAGAAATTTATCTATTCATCAACAAATTAGCGTGATCCTGGAGAGACAGAGTAGCATTATTGTATGGTAGGGCGTGTTATATTTAAACCTGGATCTGCAAAATGC